ATCATTTCAGGAAAGGTTGGAAAAGCTGAGCTTCAGGGGCTGCCCAGCCAAGGACCTGACCCTGGACCCCACCCAGCTGCTGGCCTGTTTTCATCTTGCTGCAAGCATGAAAGAAGTAAAAACACTGCAGTGAGGTCTAACAAGAATTCATGGCATCTCTAATCCATCATGGTCAAAAGCTGCATTTTTTAATCACTCTACCATTTTGCCTCAGTCTTCACTAATAAACACTTAAAAGTAGATTTTGGTGTGGCGCCTGGGGAACTCAGTTGGTTAAACGTCCGACTCTTGATTTTGGCTCAGGTCATGATCTCGGGGTCCTGGGATCAAGCCCTGTATCGGGCTCCGCGCTCAGTGGGCAGTCTGCTTGAGGATTCTCTCTCTCTCTCCCTCTCTCTCTGCCCCTCCCCCTGCTCACATTCTCTCTCTCTCTCAAATAAATAAATCAATCTTTTAAAAAAATTGATTTTAGTGAACTAAAGTCTATTTTCTGATGCATATATTCATATTTTTATTTTTGTAACCTATATGGTTCGTGACTTTATGTCTAGGTACAAATCATGACCATTTTAGAGTAAAAATATCAGTAAGAGAGGAAGAATACTGGATATCCATTGTTCATGAGCACTGTCTTGCTACTTCAGGAAGACAATTCCAAGTCACACTTTATTTCTGAGCTGGAATTAATGCTATAAATAGGTATCATTGTTTCAAAATGTCCTGCAAAGGAAGGAGACAGATCATTCTCACACCAGATGCTTCCCATCCCCAGTGGGAACATGCAAGAGGTTTTTATGAGCTAGGCTCCGTAAGCCCACGGGATAGGAAGCATAGAGCATTATGCTCAAATGAAAGCAGAAGAAAAATGTTGGTCTTGGGAATGCTGGAACTGGACGAGAGGACAAGAGCCAAGGCTTTGCTCCTGTAAAAGGAATCGTAAAACCTGTAAATGAGCAACCTCCATTTTCGGAAAAGAAGAAAAAAGGGTTTTCAAAATGAGAAATGCTAAAGAGTACCAGAACTTTCTCTTCACTCTAATTGCTTAAAAGGTATGACCTCTTGTCTTCATGTACTTACACCCACACCTCAGTGGTCATAAGGAAGAGAAACTTCAACATCATTTTTCTTGCTGCTACTATCAGCCCTCGAGGAAATGAACATCCATAATGCCATTAAAAAACCCTTAGAGTGTAGAGTGACAGTGATAATGGGAGACTATATCAGATAAAATAGCATAAATCTTTTCTCGAAAACACATGATGAGGGGCACCTGGGTGGCTCAGTCGGTTAAGTGTCTGCCTTTGGCTCAGGTCACAGGTCATGATCCCAGGGTCCTGGGATCGAATCCCGTGTGAGGCTCCCTGCTCAGTGGGGAGTCTGCTTCTCCCTCTCCCTCTGCCTCCTCCCCCCGCCCACCGCCCCTGGCCACCATGCATGTGCTCTCTCTCTCTCGCTCTGCTCTCTCTCTCAAATAAATAAATAAATAAAATCTTTAAAATAAAACAAAACACATGACTTGATTTTTCAGTACGTACTCCAATGACAAATATATTGGGTAACTAGATTTTGGAAACAAAAATACAAAGGGGAAGTCATCTCCCTTTCTGGAGTGCAAACTTGAGGAGATCAGGAGCATTTTCTGTTTGTTCATTGCCATATCCCCAGGGCTCAGAATATAGTAGGTGTTCAATAAGTATTTGTTGAATGAATGACTAAGAGGCAAGTTATCTGAATATGCTATCAAATTTATCTTTAAATAATAATAAAGAGCATCTGTTTATATTCACATTGTAGTGGGAAGATAACTCCCTCTTTATATTTTTGTTTCCAAAATCTAGTTACCCAATATATCTGTATGTATATTGTATACAATTTCCCATGAGGACTGGATTTTTATCTTGTTTTGGAAACTGCTGTCTCTCCAGCATCTATATAGGACAGTGCCTAGAATATTGTATGCATTCAATACATTTGTTGAATGAATTATTGCGTATATCTTGTAGAGGGAAACATGATATCATGGTGAAAATGAACCTCCTTTCTATGTCTGCTTTCTTGTTCAAGTCCCAGATGTATGCCTGATTTGCTTGATGACCTAGAGAAAATGCTGCATTTTATAGAGGGTACCTGATGGTTTTATTCGTGCCTTTTTTCCTACTCTGAACACAAGGAATCCCTCTCTCTTTTCTCCCTGCCAGTGTCCCCATATTGCTATCAAAACCTAGTTTACTATGACCGCCTTGTGGAGTATTTTCATGATTAACTGGATTTGAATCCTCATCTAGTGTTAGTTACCCTGTGCATTTACTATGAGTGACAACAATTGGCACAATGGCAGCATTAGGAAAACGTTATCTCATTTATTAGACTTTTCTTCAGCTCTTTTCTTCAGTTGTCATTTCTTGTGATATCCTACCCTCCATTGCCTCTCATTCCTGGCCTGGCATTTCTCTGGGTCTAAGATATATTACTGACACTCTCCAGCCCCTCCCTACCTCTGCCCCGCCTCCCGCCACTGTTAAATACCTGACATAGAACAACTTCTCAAGATCTAAGGTGCTAACTGACTCATCTTATAATCATATTACATAACTCAAGACATAGTTGGTGCAAGTGGACAGAATACTGATCTGATCATCATGAGACCTCCTGTCTAGAGCTAAAGAGTTCTGCCATTAGCCAGTTTTGTGGACTTGGGCTACTCAATCTCTTTGGGCTTCACTTTTTTTTTTTTTTATGTGTAAAATGTGGATGTTTGTCTAGATCAGCCTTTCTCTAAGTAAGTGCTGTAACACTGGTTCAAGGATATGTCTTTCAGAAATACTTTCTGGGGTCACATTCATTTGGGAATTGCTATGTATTTAGAATAGAATATCAGCGGTTTAGGATTCTGACAAATCCTGAAATAAAGAAACTATTTTTCCTTATTTGGTAATTGATCTTTTGAGAGGGGCGAAGGGTAACATGTTGGTAGTTCCCTAGAACTCTGACACGGCACAGAGTCATAAAATCCCAGGATGTATTCTGGTCCTGTGAATCAATCTCATGCATATGGAGCCTAGGAGTAGAGGCTGCCCAGGGAGAGAGGAATGGGAGAAAGTTCTGGGAGGTGGGTAGAGGCTTGCCTACGCTGTGCTATCAGTGTCATTCTAAGAAGTCTGGAACGTATCCTGTAGGTGATAGGAAACCATCCTTAGATTGGTTTTTTAATCAGGGGAATTACATAGTTGATAAGTATTTGTGAAGAGAATTATGGAATGAAAAAGAAAATCCTGGAGTGTTAAGGCAGATGGAGGGGGAAGAGACTGGCAGGGAAACTAATTAAGATTCTGGTGGAATGAGAGATGATAACAGGTTGGATAACGACAGTAGTTAAACGAGAGATGGAGGAACCAGATTTGAAGGAAATTTAGGAGCTCAGCGGATGTGAGAAGTGACTGGATACCGGGCAGGAAAGAAAGAGGAATACAAAGGGACTCCACATTATTAGCTTGGGTAAATGTTGTGTGATTATAAAATTTACTGGGATGGGAATTCAGAGGAGTGAACTGTTTCATATTGATTTCGAATTGGACTGTGAAATCTTCTATGAAGAGGAATTTTTCTATAAAACCCATCCGTTGATTTTTGTGTTTCAGGGTTCCTTAACGATTTAACTAAATACCATATTTTTTAAAAAAAAGTGTATTCTAAACTGAAATTTGGTAAGTACTTGATCCATTCTTGTCCACAAAACAGCATTTTTATCTATATATTTCTTTTGATTTTTACCTCTAACTGATAATCATTTCTAGGACTTCAAATCCATTTGGTTTTTCACTCAATCAAAACCACTTTATTCTTTCAGCTTTGGATAATCCTATCCACATTAATATCTCAGTAGAAATTTGTGAGATTATTTCCATTTTCTAGAGGAAACACCATAGAACACCAACAATTTTCATTATTTAAATATTAAGCCATTATTTTTGCACTAAACCTAAATTTGGCCTTCACACTAAATATGATTGATGCCAATACAATAAAAATACAAAAATAAAAATACGTTTATAGTCAGAGAGTGGGATTGTTTCAAGAGCACCTTTGTATGTCAGTGAAAAGTAGAAAAATATTCTTTTAACTGACTCAGTTTCTTAGAGGTCCACGCTTGCTTATTGTATAGAACTTAACAAAGATTTTAAAGAATTATTTTCCCCAACCACATTTTGAAGTATAGGGTTCCTTCTTTAGGGAGAAAAGAACTCTCTTTTAGACACAAGATGTAGAAACTAGCATAACCCCAATTGTTTATACAAAAGCAGTCCACACCTCCCTGATTAGGTCAGAGAATTTTGCCTTTTACCGGCCACGGCTGCCTTCTATTAGCACTAGAAACAAATTGTACAATCTATGGTCACTGAACTATGACCACCTTCTCATTTTGAATTTTTTGTCTAAGAGGACCAGGAATCCAGAAACTGAATTGGTGGAGAGGAGCTGTTGCTGGTTGTAACTTATCAGGGGAAGGGAAGGTCCGTGCCCGCCTTAACAATAAATGAGCTATCAACATGGCTACACATTATAAAATGAACACAGTGAGGCCGTCAGAGAGTGGCTCCTGAGAATTTTATGTTTTTCCCCTTTACACTGTAAAGAAATAAAGATAAACGCTGAATGGTCTTGTAATAGTCAGGGCAGCCTCTCACTCCTCACTTCCCCTATCTTTGCTGCATTCATAGCAGCTTCGTGGACTTATTTTGAAATAAATTTAGAAGCTTTGGAAGGCAGGTCCATGTCATGGTGGTTCCCACTACTCTGGGGTTCAGGATGAAAGGTGCCAGGGAGTAAGCCTTCAGATTTTACACATTTCTAAACGCATTTTATTGCCCCTGGGAGAAATTTTGCATTGTTGAGAAAATGCAATGCAAAATGAGTTGAGACACAATGTCCCTTTATCTCAGAGCAAAACAGTCTTGCTTTCCTGTAGTGGAAATGGAGGGCAGGGAAGTCAAGTTGTGGTTTCTGAAATCCAACAACCCAGTATCGCTGTGCCACTCTCTCTCGGATCCAGCGCCACTCCTTAACTTGATATCTGTTTACTTTAGAGGAGGCAGTTTTTAAGAAAGGATCATAAATATCCTGGCCCAGTGCCCCAGGAGCCATGACAAGCAAAAGAACATACTCGCCTAGTGATAGCCCTTGTGATATTTAAATGTGTGGTTAATTTTTTATCCACTTTAATAACTGGATTATTCCCCTCTACCCCTCCTTTGCTTTCAATTTCTGCTCCGAAGCCTTGGGCACAGAAATCTCTGCAGGCAAATTACTCCAGAGAATATTGCAGGACAGTCCTACAAGGAACAGTTCCATTCACGGCATTTGGATTCCTGATCTTTTTCTGACATGGCAGGTGTGAGTGGCTGTATAAAATATTCTATGTTTATCTTCAACTTCTTGTTCTGGGTAAGTGTTTTGTTTTTTTTCTAATTATCAATTTTAGGCAAGAAAGGGGACCTTGATACAAATACCATAAACGAGAACAGACTCTGCACTAGAGAAATAGGAGGAGGAGGAAAATGTATTTTCCATTTACTTGTTTGGATTTGTTTGTTCTTTCTTCGGTTATGTCAGTAATTGAAAATGAGCCAATGACTCAAGAAAGTGGACTTCAGGATCTGTGAGGATAAACATTTCATAAATGTTTTGATATTGTTGCAAAACAATCACAGAGGAAAAAAAAATATCCCTTAATTAAAGGACAACTATTCTTAGTTGTATATCATGCAGGCCTCCCTAGTTTAAGGACCTTGTGGGAAAAATTTGGTCTGATTCCACCGGAGCCCAGCCCCTGAATCCTAATCTTTACATCTGGGTCTGAAACAGGTGAATGGTGGGGTGTCAGATGAGAAAGATGAGGAAAGGATCATTTTCAGAGACCCAAAGAAGAAACAGTGGGTCATAAAAAACTTGAGAGGGAACAATACAATTATTTAATCATGGAAAAATGAAACTTAGTAAACTAGGTTTAAAAAGTTACTTATTTTGATGTGTCATCACCCCACCTCTTAATCAACAGGGTTGGTATTTTAGCAGGTCGTATGGGTTTTTTGAAAAGCCTATTGACATAAGACAGTAAATAAATTGATAAGTAGCATTAAATATTAGAAAATGGAAAAATAAGATATGGAAGGCAAAAGGTAAAAGGCAGGCTGGGATGTTGGACAATTGACATTATTTTCAGTAATATAGGGTGCAATTAAAGATTGTTCAGAAGTAAATCAGTAGAAATAGCCCAAAGTCCTTAAATGAAAAAATCATTTTGTATCCTGGATTTAAAAAATGGCTCCTGGGGGCGCCTGGGTGGCTCAGTCGTGGTCCCAGGGTCCTGGGATTGAGCCCCACATCGGGCTCCCTGCTCGGTGGGAAGCCTGCTTCTCCCTCTCCCACTCCCCCTGCTTGTGTTCCTGCTCTCGGCTGTGGGCTGTGTCTCTCTCTGTCAAATAAATAAATAAATAAATAAATAAAATCTTAAAAAAAAAAAAAGAAATGGCTTTTGCAGAATGGGCAGGAGAGAGTTCTGGTTTTGTTTTTTACCTGGTTACCTTAACCAGGCAGCTGGTATCTCTATGTTGGTAAACTTCTGTCCTGTTAAAACAAGGATGTACCTAATTAAGTTTAACTATAGGAATACAGTCTTGTTGTACAGAATGACTTTCCATTCAATGTCAGCAGCCCTAATGAGTACAGATGAAATATTGGTGAAGTAAATGGGTATGTAAATAAATAAAATAAAATAAAGAAGATCTGTCCCTTTGCTTCCTCTTTTCCCTAGAAAAACAGGCTGCTTTTGCAAATATTAAGTATAGGTCATGAATATATGCCAGTTTTTTAAAGTTAGTCCTGATAAATTTCTTCGCTTGAAATATTTAAAAGTGGGGGCGCCTGGGTGGCTCAGTCGTTGGGCATCTGCCTTCGGCTCAGGTCATGATCCCAGGGTCCTGGGATTGAGCCCCACATCGGGCTCCCGGCTCAGCGGGAAGCCTGCTTCTCCCTTTCCCACTCCCCCTGCTTGTGTTCCCTCTCTTGCTGTCTCTCTGTCAAATAAATAAATAAAAATATTTAAAAAAATATTCAAAATTCGTTAAACCTTGAGAGTAGAATATAAACAAAGGAATGCCTATGTACTTTGATTGATTTTGTTTGTAGCTTTTTGTTATGGAGAATTTTGAACATTCACAGAATAGAAAAGGGTGATCAACCCCATCATTGAGCCCCAACAGTGAGGATATCGAGGCAATTCTGTGTGCATGCTCTCATTCACTTTCTCCACCCTATATCAATTTGAAGCAAACCCCAGATACATCATTTCATCTGTAAATATTTTAGTATATGTCTCTAAAAGAGAAGTAATTCTTTTTTAAAAATATAACCATAATGTCATTATCACACTAAAAACTTAATAAGACTTCCTGAATTGATTATCAAATATCCACCTAGGGATATTTCAGAATCTAAATAAGGTTCACGCCTTGCTATTGGTTGATATATCCTGTATGTCAATTTTCATCTTTAGGTTCTCCTTCCATCCTCATCTCTTTTTTCCCCCCTTGAAATTTTATGTATTGATGTATGTTGTCAGTCTTACCACATTTCCCACAGTCTGGTGTTTGCTATTTGCACACTTGTGGTATAGTTTATCATGTTCCCCTGTCCTCCGTATTATCTCTAATCTAGTGATCACATTTGTCAGCTTGAAGAGATTCAGATTGTTTTTTGGGGGGGAGCACAACTACTTTAGAAGTGATATTGAGTTCTTTCATCAGGAGGCGCATACTGTCTGACCGTGTCACTTTTTGTGATGTTAGTTGCCACTCAAGAACCTAAGAAACAGTCCAGTAAGAGTTCCAAATTGGTGATATTCTATTTCCATCACCTTTTGTTCATGTATGAGCTGGAATACTTTAAATAAAGAGAAACCCAGCATTTATTGATTGGTTACCAGTAGTACCCAGTTTTTATTAAAAAAAAAAAAAGGCAGCATAAATGCTTCTTACTTTTTACTTAACTGATTTCAAAATGATGAGTTAATTTTCTGGTATCATGCAACAGTAATAAGCAAGCATTTCTTATCCTTTTCTTTGTTGATATGCAATTTATTTTATCTTTGGCCATTGGGGAGCATCTTCAAGTTGGCTCCTGAGTCCTTTTGACATGATCTTAATAGCATAACTTCTTCCCCATTGGTATGACAAGATGTTCCAGGTTTATTTCCCTAGTTCCTGTTGTATAAAAACAGCATACAAAGTGCATTCACAAAGATTGTGAATACATTAGAAGTCGGTGTTTCATTAAGGAGCTACCCAGGAATTTGAAATCTGAATTTGAGCCTGAAATGACAAAGAGAGATTAGGCAAGGGGCATGTTATAGGTTCAGGATTATATATTTAAGATTAGAGATCTGTACCGTGCTGTACCCAGATATTGTCACTGCTTTCCCCGGATTCTCTGATTATTTTATGGTCCCCATTATCTCTTTGTTTTTCTGATAATGAAGACAAAGTCTTTCTGATGCATTAGATTTCAGTTAGATATTTCTAACTTCCCTGGGTTTTGTAAAAGGCCTTGTTCTTCCCATCCGCATATCAGTGTGACCTACAATCTCTATATGACACATCTCAAAATGGAGTCTTTGAATAAGAGCAATGGCGGTAAAGAACAGTGATGACTTCTCAGCCAACAGGTGACATCAATAGTTTTATTCAAAATTTAGACAGCAGGAGTCCCTGAGGTTAGGGAACCACTGCTATTTCTACTCTCTCCTCTATCCCAACCCAGAGTTCTCCATTGGAATTTTATGATCCTTCATAGGAAATTAGCAATTTGTCACATTCCTAAAGTTTACTTAAGCAACGAGTTTAACAGTCCCACTGTTGTGGTTTTCTTATAGATATCCATGGCCTTATGTGTTCAAATACATTCTTTCTGGTGTAACTTGCAAAACTAAGCCTTTGCAAAGTTGGGCCAGATGTTGAAATATCTCTGAGATATGCATATGGTCATGTGAGCTAAACATACCAGTTTCTTTTGGGAGAGAACTTGAGATGTGTCACATAAATATGCGGCAATTTCCATTTGTCAGAATTAGCAATTGAAGAAAAACATGTGAAAGTGGAAATCGTCCTTAATCACCGAGGCTAGCGTTTGATGTGAGTCACAGTGAAATTGGAGGTTTCATACAGATGAAATATTGGTGAAGTAAACGAGTATGTAAATAAATAAAATTCCAGGTATAAAATCTATTCTCCAAGTCTTGTGTCAGAACAGATGACCCGCCCGTTTCCTGATGCTCCTCTCAGATAGATTAGGCTGGGGAGTATTGCAGATGCTGGGGTATGGCTGTTGTTCTGGGCAAGCACTGGACACAGAGCCTTCGGCTGGCCCAGGGATGCAGTGGAACCGCCCGGAGAGGCGAAGAGCTAGCTACCGAGAGGCCAGCCCCGTGGGAAGGAAGGAAAGCGGAGGGAGGTCACATGACCGATCCCAAATGCGGTAAGGCGAGAAGAAGGAGCCAGGTTGTAAAAGCCGAATGTATCAGCAATGCAGGATGCCCGTGCCTGAAGCCCTCTGAAGAGAGCAGAAGGAAGTCAGAACTTGGAGAGAGTCCAGGAATCAGAATTTTGATGTTCCTCCTTGTATTTTATGCCGTGCCTGGGTCGCCTGGGTCGCCTGGGTGGCTGGGCCGAGAGCAATGAAGAGAGTCAAGGCAGACATAACTGAGATTGGGGAAGCTGAAAAAAAAATCAGGCCCAATGATACTTCATCGTGTCGGTTGATGAAATCTCCCAGGACAGAGACCTGACTATGACTGTAACGTGTGAACTTGGTAAATACAGTGGTTTCCCCTCACTCTGCAGTCCGTGTGGAACTGTAACCATGACAAAAGGCATCTAAGCCCAGGGGTTGAGAGTTCAGGCTGAACCTCCACTCCTTCCTCACTAGCTGTGTGACCTTGGGGAAATGTGTTGATCTCTCTGTGCTTTAGAGTTCCTCATCTATAAAATTGGGGTAGTAGCAATATCTACTTCACAGAGTTGTTGGGAAGGTTAAATGAATTAAGGCATAGAAAAGAATTCAGAATAATTTTAAAGAAATGTTTAAGAAACAGACATTTCCACCAACATTGTATGACATTTTTATGAGACAAAAATATGAAACTACAGTGCATAGTGAGAAATCAGTTCCAATGTTGAATTCTGAAATAGAGGAGGAAATAAGATGGCAAGAAATATGATGGAGGCAGAAATTCTTCTAGCACAGATGAGGGGAATGGAAAGAAGGAAAGCGTATTTTGTAAGCAGACTTGAGATCCAAATCCTGACTTCACTCCATATTGCTCTGTGGCCGGAAACATGTTCCTTGACTTTTCTGTGCCCCAGTCTCTGCATTTGTGAAATGAGGATGAT